TTTTATTATGTATATTATATATATTGTGTATACTATTTTTGTAAAAATCATGTAATAATTCAATAAATAATAAAACATTTATATAGATTTTAAATCTCAGATCTGCTCCGGCGAAACCTGCTACACAGGTCTCAGCACTCAAGCCTGCATTACAATATAGGCAGGGCCAGTCTGCTGTCGCCCATCAGCTGTAGATAGTTAACTAATTCGAGGGCCGTGGCCCTACAGCTGTGAGAACTCAGCAATCAGGCGTCCATTTTAGGTAGCTCTTTCCTGGAGCGTCAGCTTCAGCGTCAGACAGCCGAAGACTGACAAAGACATTGGAGTCCTGCGGGAGTAAGACTGACAAAGACATTGGAGTCCTGCGGGAGTAAGACTGACAAAGACATTGGAGTCCTGCGGGAGTAAGACTGACAAAGACATTGGAGTCCTGCGGGAGTCACGAGGGAGGCAAAGAGGAGGCAAATCCTACTCTGATTGAGCTGGTGTCTTATTTCTCTTTTCTTTAGTTTTCTAGCCCCTCATGCTATAATCATGTGTATTTTCTCCATTCCTGTTCATGTGTCTTCTCGCAATTATCACTGGCCCCGTGTATCTCGTAATCGATATAACCGGCCTGCTCTCGTCTATCCCACATGCTCCACTGAGATCCAACATCTAGTTTCAGGTGGCCTGTGGAACTGCCAGTCAGCTGTTCCTAAGGCTGACTTCATCTCTGGCTACGCCTCCCTGCAGTCTCTGGATTTCCTTGCTCTCACTGAGACCTGGATTACTCCATCCAACACATCCACCCCAGCAGCTCTCTCCACTGCATATTCCTTCTCCCATACACCCAGACCCACTGGCAGAGGAGGTGGCACTGGTCTCCTGCTCTCTCCCAAATGGAGCTTTTCCCTCTTCAAGCTACCTAACTTCACTCCTTCCACCTTTGAATTCCATGCCGTCACAGTAACCCATCCTATACAGTTAACCATTGTTGTTCTCTACCGTCCACCAGGCGCCTTGGGGGACTTCTTGGAGGAATTAGATAATCTCCTCTCACTCATCCCTGAAACTGGCCCTCCCGCTGTACTTCTCGGAGACTTCAACCTCCAGACAGGGAAGATAGACGAACTAACATCCCTGTTAACCGCCTTTGCTTTCTCACTGTCTCCGTCCCCACCGACTCATAAAGCTTGCAATGTCCTTGATCTCATATTCTCAAGGAACTGCGCTACTTCTAACCTCTCTGTAAACCCGCTCCACACATCCGATCACTTCTTCATTTCATTCTCTCTACCCCTTTCCAAACATAACGAACTAATCTCTTCTCATCCTGCACTTGTCCGCCGTAACCTTCGCTCCCTCTCCCCCTCTACCTTTGCCTCGTCGGTGCTCTCATCCCTCCCTTCCTCTGACTCGTTCCAACTCCTGCCTTCAAACTCTGCTGCAGAAACTCTCCTCTCTACTCTCTCATCCTCTCTGGACTCTCTCTGTCCTCTCACATCTCGGCAGGCTCGTCAGTCCCCTCCTGCTCCCTGGTTAAATGATGCACTGTGTGCTAATAGAACCGTCCTTCGGGCAGCAGAGCGGAAACGGTGGAAATCCAAACACCGTGACGACCTCCTAACCTATCAGGCTCTCCTCTCCTCTTTCTCTGCTTCGATCTCTCAGGCAAAAAGCACTTTCTTTCAAGATAAGATCCAATCTTCCTATTCCAATCCCCAAAAACTATTTTCCATCTTCTCCACCCTCCTGGACCCCCCCAAAGCCCCTCCCCCCTCCACCCTCCTGGACCCTCCCAACGCCCCTCCCCCCTCCTCACTTCTGTCAAGCGACTTTGTTACCCACTTTGAAAACAAGGTTGACTCACCTTTACTCACCGCTGGGTCACCAGACCCTCCTTCCACCCACACACTGACCTCCTTTTCCCCTCTCTCTCCAAGTGAGGTTCTTACCCTCATTACCTCTGCCCGCCCTACCACCTGTCCTCTGGACCCTATCCCTTCAAACCTCCTTCAGACTATCGCTCCTGATATTCTACCATTTCTCACCCATTTCATCAACACTTCTCTAACTTCTGGTCACTTTCCAAACAGTCTCAAGGAGGCAAGAGTAAACCCTCTCCTAAAGAAACCCACTCTCAACCCGTCTGATGTTATAAACTACAGGCCTGTCTCTCTCCTCCCGTTCCTGTCTAAATCACTTGAACGCGCTGTCTTTAAACAACTCTCCTGTTATCTCAATCAGAACAACCTTCTGGATCCGCACCAGTCTGGTTTCAAGGCAGGTCACTCCACAGAAACTGCTCTCATTACTGTCACTGAGGAACTGCACACTGCCAAAACTGCATCCCTCTCCTCTGTCATCATCCTGTTGGACCTGTCTGCTGCATTCGACACGGTGAATCATCAGATCCTCCTTCGCACTCTCCAAAAACTTGGAGTTTCAGGCTCTACACTTTCCCTCCTCACCTCATACCTGAAAGACCGTACCTACAGGGTCACTTGGAGAGGGTCTGAGTCCGACCCTTGTCAATTAACTACGGGGGTCCCTCAGGGCTCTGTTCTTGGTCCCCTCCTCTTCTCCCTGTACACAAACTCACTCGGATCAGTCATTAGCCCGCATGGTTTTTCATACCACTGCTACGCTGATGACACCCAATTAATTCTGTCCTTACCCCGCTCAGAGACCCAGGTCGTCGCACGCATCTCTGCTTGTCTAGCTGACATCTCTCAGTGGATGTCTGCTCACCACCTCAAGCTCAACCTTGACAAGACTGAGCTGCTCTACCTCCCGGGAAAAGATTGTCCCACTCTTGACCTGACAATCAACATCGGCACCTCAGTTGTTTCCCCGACTCAGACTGCAAGGTATCTGGGTGTGACCCTAGACCCTTCACTGCAAACATCGCTGCTACAACCCGTTGCTGCAGATACACGCTTTACAACATCAGGAGGATACGTCCCCAGCTGACCCAGAAAGCCACGCAGGTTCTGGTCCAGGCTCTCGTCATCTCACGCCTAGACTACTGCAACTCCCTCCTGGCTGGTCTACCTGCATGTGCCATCCGACCTCTGCAGCTCACCCAGAATGCAGCGGCTCGCCTGGTCTTCAACCTTCCTAAATGTTCCCACACCACTCCGCTCCTCCGCTCCCTTCACTGGCTTCCGGTAACTGCTAGAATCCACTTCAAGACACTGGTACTTGCTTACCATGCTGCGAATGGATCTGGCCCTTCCTACATCCAGGACATGGTTAAACCGTACACCCCAGCGCGTGCACTACGCTCTGCATCAACCAAACGACTCGCTGCACCATCGCTGCGAGGGGGACCCAAGTTCCCATCGGCAGAAACACGTGGGTTTGCTATCCTGGCTCCAAGATGGTGGAATGAGCTCCCCATTGACATCAGGACAGCAGATAGCTTGCACATCTTCCGGCGCAGACTGAAAACTGATCTCTTTCGACTCCACTTTGAGCGTTAGAACTATTAACAAAGCACTTATATACTAATAAAGGACTGGATTACCTAAAGCCAGTTGAGTAGCACTTGAAATGTTTGGCTCTATGAAACCTGATGTACTTATATGATTCTGTTTTCTTCAAGGTTGTGTCTTCCTGGTCGAATGTACTTATTGTAAGTCGCTTTGGATAAAAGCGTTAGCTAAATGCAATGTAATGTAATGTAATAACCTTGAAGATTCTCAGGGGTTGATACAGTGCCAGGTATCAGACTATTTAAACAATGTTTACCCAGGATTCAGACACTTTCCCTGTCTTTTAACATGCAGTGATGCGCCCTGGAGGTATCAGACTATTTTAAACAACTTTTCCCCGCCTTTCAAACACTTATTCCTGGGTTTTAGCCTGTCATTTTGCACGATATGATTTAACATTGAACCTCTCCTGAAAATGCACATATCCTGTGCTTATTCATTGATTTTGGTGACGATCCGACCTCCATGCTGCTACTCTGGTTCAAAACTGCATCCACCAAACAATATGATTTATCTCGACCTCCCCAAAATAACCAAATTCTGACACGGTGTGAGATGTCTGTTTTAGCTGATTTGTCATCATTTCCTGCGATCTCCTTCCTGCAGTCAGTCAGAATGAATGAATGAATGAATGAATGGGCGTTTCTTTGACTATTTATAGGCAAATATGGGCGTTACGTGAAGCCCGCAAAAGCTGCACCGCATTTCGAGTTGATTGTGATTTATAAAGGGAAACCGGCGTAGGAAGTGCGTGTGCAGTGTTTTATAAATCGGAATACTTTTGTGCGTATTTATTTGCTTTGTCCTACGTACGCCACCTTCCCATGTGAATCTTATGCAAAGCTTTATTAATGAGCGGGCTTTTTTTCGAAAGGATTTCAGAGAGTTGCCCCCCCCCCCCCCCCCCGCCCCTCGATACTGCAACACATACTTCTCATAAATATTAAACACAACGTGCTTCTACTTCACATCTGAAACTCTGCTCCATCTGCACTAACTCATGATGTGCAGCCAGACAAACACAAACCCTCAGAAACTGATTCAACTCAAGATAATAACATTTACAAATAGGAAAAATAGGATGAATTTCAAATGTGAAAAGAACATCCAGAAGAGTGGATTCATCAAATCACAGCTTCTTCAGTGTAAACTATTCAGTCAGTAAAGCATCGTGTAGCTTCAGAAACATGTTGGAAACAGCAACAACTGAAAATACTTGTAAGTGTTTGATAGTTTTAATAAACATATTTAATTATTGTATTTCAAATAATTTGTTAAAATCATGATGGAGAAAATAGGATGTGATTCATGTGGGAATTATACAGTGAAGGTGTTTTTTGTTATATTTAAATGTAAAGATCAACATGGCGCTGCCACAGTCAGTGAACTAAACCACAGAAGAAGAATGTAGAGCATTAAGATGCTCAGTGAGGATCAGAGTGATATCAGCCTGATGTCTGCAGCTCAGAGTCAACACAACTCTCTTCACCTTAAAAAGCAAGTTGGAGATGGAGAACTGACCTGAGAGCCTCCAGTCTGCAGTCTGGACTCTCCAGAAGATCTCTCAGCAGCTTCACTCCTGAATCCTGCAGATCGTTGCGACTCAGGTCCAGATCTCTCAGATGGGAGGGGTTGGACTTCAGAGCTGAGATCAGATCAGAACAGCTGATCTCTGAAAAACTGCAGCTCCTCAGTCTGAATAAAGAAATCATGATGAGGATTAAAATCAGTTTATAATCCAGTCTGATGTTCAGGTCTGAAATGTGTAGCTCAACATTACTGCGTTCTAATCAATGATCTTTTCCCTGAATTTCAGTGACTTTCATTCTGTTATTGTGGATCATCATTATATCAGCCTTCTGTGTATGATCTGGGAAAACACGTCTAAATGATGGGAACATAAACATTTCTATGTCAGAAAGTAAACTTTAAGTACAACTACATTTAGTTCAGAGGACCTTCTTTATTCAGACCATTTACTAAATAAATCATACATTTACTTGAACAAATGACAGTTGAATAATAATAGTTTATTTAGGAAACAATCAACTGTTACGACAACATTTACAAACGTATGGATGTAATATAGGTATGATGAAGCATCAGGTTGAATAACTAATGAAACATGAGATCTCCAGCAGTAACAGAGAGTCAGAGAACTGACCTGAGAGTCTCCAGTCTGCAGTCTGGACTCTCCAGAAGATCTCTCAGCAGCTCCACTCCTGAATCCTGCAGATCGTTCTCACTCAGGTCCAGCTCTCTCAGATGGGAGGGGTTGGACTTCAGAGCTGAGACCAGAACAGAACAGCTGATCTCTGACAAACTGCAGCCCCTCAGTCTGAATAAAGAAATCATGATGTAACTTTAGAAAACATGGTTCCTGTTTAAAATAACTCCAGGTTTAATAAACTGATCGGAGCTGAAGAAGTTTAGAAAATGGAAACTCCAAACAGGTTAAAAACTGTAAGACAGAAAAAGTGAAATTGAGCTGATAGTCCGTGTTTTTTTTATTTCAATAGTTTTATTTGTTAAACCAGTAAACAGAGAGGAGACTGCAGGCTCTTTAGTTTCTGCTCTTAGTCTTACTAAATGATCAAATGATCTTTGGGGAGAGGGATGGGACTCTCAGAAGATAATGAAGAACTAAAGTCCTCGCTCAATAACGTGTGGGGAGGCTTTATAAAGAATAACATCATCAAAGCATGTATATTAATATTTCAGTGAGAAATGTCAGCCTATAGCCACGAGGCGCTGTCTGTGGTGAGGTCTGTGCTGAAGCGTTCCTCTGACGCTGCTGTGGCTCCTTTGAAAGGAAATCCAACCACTGTTAATAAACTATGGCCAGTCAGATTCAGCAGGAGAGTCAGTAAACGTCCGGTCAGCAGAGCGCTGCAGTGCTGTCTCTGCTGTATAACTACTCTATGTGACAGTGGAAGAGAGACGATGAACACTTCATATTCATAAAGTACCGCCAGTTACATATATTCAAACTTTCCCACCAAACCAACCACACTTGAATGGACAGTAAGTTCCTGAAGTTAAATCATGCTCCATCTGTTTTATTATTTTTACCCTCAGAGCAGCCGTGTTGCATTCTGGGAGCTTGTTCATCACAGCAGTGGATTTAAGCAGCAGAAAGCCGGCACGTGTACAGCCTCTAAAGCGAGCTGCAAACATCGCTCCGGTGCTCGAGCGGCACTTTGATATATACATATTGATCTCAGCACAGAAGTTAAAGATGGAGAACTGACCTGAGGGTCTCCAGTCTGCAGTCTGGACTCTCCAGAAGATCTCTCAGCAGCTTCACTCCTGAATCCTTCAGATCGTTGAATCTAAGGTCCAGATGTCTCAGATGGGAGGGGTTGGACTTCAGAGCTGAGATCAGAGTAGCCCAGCTGATCTCTGACAACCTGCAGCCCTCCAGACTAAATAAAGAAAACATGATGTAACTTTAGAAAACAATGTTCCTGTTTGAAATAACTCCAGGTTTAATAATCTGTTCAGAGTTAAACAGGGTTTTAATGTCAGAGATGATTTAGAAACAATCCATTGATAATCTGGAACTTTAACTTTGATCAGATGTTTATCAACTCCTTCATCTCCCTGACAGCTCATCAGTACTGACAGCATCTCCACTGACTCCTGGAGCACAGGGTGAGTCTGTGGAAGCTCAAACACTCTCCCTCACACATTCACCTTCTCTCTGTTACTATGATCAATATTCAGTCATTAGCAAAAGTGAGAAAAATAATTAAAATGTATTTGTTCATAGGAAAATTCAGAAAGTGATACATAAAAACAGATCTGTATGAACTGCAGTCAGTGAACTGACCTGAGAGACTCCAGTCTGCAGTTTGGACTCTTCAGTCCAGAACTCAGCAGCTCCACTCGTGAATCCTTCAGATCATTGTGACTCAGGTCCAGATCTCTCAGATGGGAGGGGTCAGACTTCAGAGCTGAGGCCAAGACTTCACATTCAGTCTCTGAGAGTCCGCAGCCAGAAAGTCTATAATAACACATAGATTACAACATGTGTTAAAAAAGAGGAAACATTATATTAAACTCAAGCATTAGATTAAAACATATTTGACATGTTCTGATAGACATTTTCTGTTATTCCATGTAATATTATATATAATAATGTATTATAATAGAGTTGAATGTGTTGTCAGTGTGATCTGATCACATGTCTGTCCTCATGCTGTCAGTGCCTGTTACCAAAGAAACAGAAATCAAATAAATCATTTGAAAATATTAGAGATGTACATATGTAAATGTTTATTAATATTTGGATTTCATGGGTGAAGGATGTTTTGGCTTCTCTGAGCATCTGAAAATGTATTGCAAACATAAATAACAAACCAATAAAGTTTCAATATTTTCAACTGAATACCATCAGATGTTCCCAGTGTATCAGCATTAAGACATAACTCTGTTATTGGTGGGAAATGATATAGATCTTACTTTAAACTCTAATACATTGTGATAAAAACGTGTCTGTTTAATGATAAATAAACTTCTACAAAGTAATAATAACAGCTTTCTCTGATAACTGGAAGTCCTGCTGTGTGGTGTGATCACATGCTGAGAAACCTCTAAAGTCCTTCATGTCTTTGACATGTCGCCTCCATCACTCAATATGAAGAGAGAAATGGTTCAATTTAAATATTATTATAAATAAATAGAAGAATATTGTTGGTTTTATTTTGCTCTCAGTATTCAAACAGCAGAAACGTGTTAGTGTTTAAACTTCTGATCCATATTAGTTTATAAAGTTAATCACATCTGGACATACACAGCCTTCCTGCAGTTCCTCACAGCTGGAATCAGTCTCTGTCGTCCCTCATCTCAAAATAAATATATATTTTGATTGTGTGTAAATAATGTTTGGTCATGTTATAGCATTACCTGTATGAAGATCTAGTTGTGTGTTCAGGCGACAACGAATCAGGAGCCTTGAACAGACAAAGTTATGTATTTATTATTTGAAAAATGCAAATTAGTCTGGATTATCTGAGTTCATTGTCAATTTCAAACGGTCAAAACACAGTATTACCAGCAAATCACAGCACAGTATTACCAGCCAATCATAGAAAGTATTACCAGCAAATCACAGCACAGTAATAGCAGCCAATCACAGCACAGTATTACCAGCCAATCACAGAAGAGAAGTCCCAGACAATCACAGTACAGTATTACCAGCCAATCACAGTAGAGTTTTACCAGCCAATCACAGCACAGTAATAACAGACAATCACAGTACAGTATTACCAGCCAATCACAGTAGAGTATAACCAGCCAATCACAGTAGAGTATTACCAGCCAATCACAGCACAGTAATAACAGACAATCACAGCACAGTATTACCAGCCAATCACAGCACAGTATTACCAGCCAATCACAGCACAGTATTACCAGACAATCACAGCACGCTATTACCAGACAATCACAGCACAGTAATAGCAGCCAATCACAGCACAGTAATACCAGCCAATCAAAGTACGGTATTACCAGCCAATCACAGTAGAGTATTACCAGACAATCACAGCACATTAATACCAGACAATCACAGCACAGTAATACCAGCCAATCACAGCACATTATTACCAGCCAATCACAGTAGAGTATTACCAGCCAATCACAGCACAGTAATAACAGACAATCACAGCACAGTATTACCAGCCAATCACAGAAGAGAAGTCCCAGACAATCACAGTACAGTATTACCAGCCAATCACAGTAGAGTATAACCAGCCAATCACAGCACAGTAATAACAGACAATCACAGCGCAGTATTACCAGCCAATCACAGTACAGTATTACCAGCCAATCACAGAAGAGAAGTACCAGCCAATCACAGCACAGTATTACCAGCCAATCAGAGAAGAGAAGTACCAGCCAGTAGGAATATTTCCCATTTCATCGGGATCCTGATATTTTAAATGGCATCTTCATATACATTTATTATGTTATATACAACTTGGTGATATGTAATCCTCTTAGACACACCTCCCATTAAAAAAAAGAAACAAACACTAATTAATTAGAATGATTCTTAACTCATAATCGAATACCTGAATATTTTCGATCAATTGCGAGCGTTATAGCGTTTAAATTGACAGCCCTAACAATTATATTTGAATTCAGTGGTGAAATAAATACACTTCTCTCTGTTCAACTGCTCCTCTCTCACCTTTCTGTCTGTCTTCGCTTCCTGTTCCACATCGGAGTCACCTGATGGAGAGAAGAGGTGACACAGAAATAATCATTAAACTTCAACAAAGAGAACATTTAGCAGCCAAAATGACTGAATAGAGCTGTAACAAAATGGAATTAAAATCTATTGTTGTTGTACTATAAAGACCTTTGAAGATCAGATTTAATGTAGAATATCTTGATGAATGGAGGACATGGCTTCAGTACTCACAGGTCTTCTGGATCTTTGCTCTGATCGTCTCATCATATCTGATCCTGTAGGGATGAACACAATCCAACAGTTTTAGATTCAGTTTAAATAAGTGTTTGTTCTTTGAGTCGGCTTCAGAGTCCTGATCTCATGCTTTACATCCCATCATATCTTCTCTGCAAACACTACGACTGACTGCCACAGCTCTCTGCTGCATCACAGGAAGTAACCAGTCATTAGAAACAAGAAACATCCCATACAAAACAGACTACCTTTTCTTCTGTAAAATCCCTTATGTCTGTTAGAGAGTTGATTATTAAAGGGTGGTTTTGCATTTTCAGCTGACCTTCTATAGTTGATGGATGAATGAGAGAGCATGCAGTCAGTGGGTAACATCACTGATCTGTTGTGATTCCCCAGTGAGAGAAACACCTCCCTGTGTTTAATACAATACTGCTGAACTAGCAGAGACCCCTTTCTGACCTGAGAGTCTCCAGTCTGCAGTCTGGACTCTCCAGAAGATCTCTCAGCAGCTTCACTCCTGAATCCTGCAGCTTGTTGTGACTCAGGTCCAGCTCTCTCAGATGGGAGGGGTTGGACTTCAGAGCTGAGATCAGAGCAGAACAGCTGATCTCTGACAACCTGCAGCGCCTCAGTCTGAATAAAGAAATTATGATGAGGAGAAAAATCAGTTTATAATCCAGTCTGATGTTCAGGTCTGAAATGTGTAGCTCAACATTACTGCGTTCTAATCAATGATATTTTCCCTGAATTACAGAGACTTTCATTCTGTTATTGTGGATCATCATTATATCAGCCTTCTGTGTATGATCTGGGAAAACACGTCTAAATGATGGGAACATAAACATTTCTATGTCAGAAAGTAAACTTTATGTAAAACTAATATTAGTTCAGAGGACCTTCTTTATTCAGACCATTTATTAAAGCAAACATACATTTACTTTTACAACCAACAGTGGAAGAATAATAGTTTCTTTAGGAAACAATCAACTGTTACGACAACATTTACAAACGTATGGATGTAATATAGGTATGATGAAGCATCAGGTTGAATAACTAATGCAATGCAAGGCAAGGCAAGGCAAGTTTATTTATATAGCACCTTGCAACACAAGGCAATTCAAAGTGCTTTACAAAAAATGAAAGACATTCAGAAAAAGGCATTTAAAATCAGTCATTAAAAAGAAAAGCTAATAAATTAAACATGAAAAGAAAAAGTACATGGATCAAAGTTACAGTGCAGTTTAAGATGTGAATAGTTCAATTAAAAGCAGCGACAAAAAGAAAAGTCTTCAGCCTGGATTTAAAAGTAGTCAGAGTTGCAGCGGACCTGCAGGTTTCTGGGAGTTTGTTCCAGATATTTGGAGCATAATAACTGAACGCTGCTTCTCCATGTTTAGTTCTGACTCTGGGGACAGAAAGCTGACCAGTCCCTGAAGACCTGAGAGATCTGGATGGTTCATCATTTAGCAGGAGGTCAGAAATGTATTTTGGGCCTAAACCATTCAGTGCTTTATAAACCAGCAGCAGTATTTAGAAATCTATTCTTTGACACACAGGAAGCCAGTGTAAAGACTTCAGAACTGGAGTGATGTGATCCACTTTCTTAGTGTTAGTGAGGACTCGAGCAGCGGCGTTCTGAATCAGCTGCAGCTTTCTAATAGATGTTTTAGTGAGACCTGTGAAGACACCATTGCAGTAGTCGAGTCTACTGAAGATAAAAGCATGGACAAGTTTTTCCAAATCCTGCTGTGACATTAGTCTTTTAATCCTAGATATATTCTTTAGGTGATAGTAGGCTGATTTAGTAACAGTTTTAATGTGACTGTTGAAACTCAGGTCAGAGTCCATGACTACACCTAGATTTCTGGCTTTATCTGTTGTTTTGAAAATTGCAGACTGAAGCTCAGCGCTAACTTTTATACGTTCTGCCTTGGCTCCAAAAACCATTACCTCAGTTTTATCTTTGTTTAATTGGAGAAAGTTCTGACACATCCAGTCATTGATTTGTTCAATGCACTTACTCAGTGTTTGAATTGGAGCATAGTCTCCTGGTGAAATTGTTACGTAAATTTGTGTGTCATCTGCATAGCTATGGTAACTTATGTTGTTGTTCTTCATTATCTGAGCCAGTGGTAGCATGTAGACGTTAAAGAGAAGAGGCCCTAAGATGGAGCCTTGAGGTACCCCACATGTCATATTTGTCAACTCAGATGTGTATTTACCTATAGAAACAAAGTTGTTTCTGTCCTTTAAGTAGGATTCAAACCAATTCAGAACTGTTTCCGAAAGTCCCACCCAGTTTTCCAGTCGGTCTAGTAATATGCTGTGGTCAACAGTGTCAAACGCAGCACTGAGATCTAATAATACTAACACTGAAGTTCCGCCACTGTCTGTGTTTAAGTGGATGTCATTAAAGACCTTTACAAGAGCAGTCTCAGTGCTGTGGTTTGGACGAAAGCCTGACTGGAACACATCAAAACAGTTATTTAAATGCAAGAAATTACTCAACTGTTGAAAAACAACTTTTTCAATGATTTTACCTAGAAATGGCAGGTTTGATATGGGCCTGTAATTGTTCATTACTGAAGCATCTAGATTATTCTTTTTTAAGAGCGGTTTAATGACTGCAGTTTTCAGGGCCTGTGGAAAAATACCTGAGTGAAGAGATTTGTTTACTATATGAAGTAGATCTGAGGCCATGCAAGGAAAAACATCTTTGAACAATCCTGTTGGAATAATATCAAGGCAGCAAGAGGAGGATTTCAGAAGTTGAATAATGTCCTCTAGGTTTTTATCATTAATCTGATGGAATTGTGTCATGATGTCTGAATTGATGTTAAGTGGAGATAGGGACAACACATTTGCTGTTCCTGATGCAGAGGCACTGACTGCTTGTCTGATGTTCTGAATGTTGTCAGTGAAGAAGGCAAAATCATTGCACGCCCTGGTGGATAGAAATTCAGAGGCTACTGACACTGGGGGGTTAGTTAGTCTGTCGACGGTAGCAAACAAGGCACGTGCGTTGTTTTTGTTTTTGGTAATGATGTCAGAGAAGAACGATTGTCGTGCGTTTTTCAATTCCAAATTATAAAGGCCTATATGTCACGCCCTGGCTCAAGGACGGACAAAGGAAGGAGACCACACATGATTCTTCCAATTGAAGTGCATTTATTTAAAGAAACTAAATTAACTATGAAGTCAGTTAATCAGTAATGTGTGTAGTGTGTGGATGTGTGAACATGCATCAGTATATAACGAAAGAACAAACCAACCAAGGTCCAGTAGAGCCAAGCAACCCAAGAGGAGAGAGAGACTGACTGCTCAGGCACCCATACTTGTAGCTGAGCAGTCAACCCAAATCAGGTGTCAGCAATCTCTCCTGATTTGGGGAGTGGCTAACCAGGGACCTGAGTCTAAGGCCTAGGGGCCGTCACACTTCCCCCCTTAAGAATGAGGTAGCACCTCAGATCCTGAAACAAAACAAGAACATTAGACACAACATTTTCTTCCAATTCATAAATCCGAGTAACACGTCTCAGAGCACATAAAAACTGCATTATAAGCCTATCAAAAGTGATACTAGGCAAAGAAGGAACTATGACAAATAGTACATGAGGTGACTACCGAAATTTGCACAAAACCCGCAATCATTACAGCCTAACCCCAGGAAAAGCAACTACTGCTGCTTAGTGGACGAAACAGGGAATGCCTGTACGGCCAAAACTTCAAGAAGAATGGGACGAAGCTCCCCTTGCCTGCACCATCTTACCCAAAGAGGTTACTGTAGCTCTCTTTCACATACTTCCGTGTGTTACAAATGTTGCACTCTGACCTTCTAGCCCAATTGACATTGCCACATGTTTTGCACTTCCAATCATTTACACTGAAGAGACCCCTGCTCCTCCCAGCCAGAGTTTTCCAACTATCTGTTCCTCCAGCTTTCATCATCTGTGCCCTCATGGTTTTCTTCTTGCCACATCTGTAACAACTGCTTCTTCTAGCAAAGTTCATTATTCCACACTTATCCGGACAAAACCAGTCCTCGCCTCTAACTTGAAAACTCTTTCCTGCAATGTTTATTTTGTTACCCCTGAATGGCTTTGCATGATCTGGCCAAACACGACCACCTGCCAGGTCATTTCCCAAAATGATGTCCACTCCAGTCACGGGCAACTCTGAACGAACACCAACCTCCACTTCTCTCTGGACCAAATCACAGGACAGAAACAGTTTATGCTCAGGCACAGAAATGGTTTGCAGACCAATCCCTCTAACTGGAACACAGCGCCCCATGTCTGAATCTGGAGAAAAAGGCAAGATGGCCTCCCTCACAAAAGTATTCAAAGCGCCTGAGTCCCTCAAAATCCTGACTTGAACTTTCTTGTCACTCCCAACTAGAGTTACAAAACCGTCAGAGATAAACGAAGCATAACCCGACTCAACCTCTGAGATATCAATTGACTTGACTTCTGTTTCACCAACTCTGGGATTATGAATAGTTGTAGCCAAACCAACTGACTTCACATGAACATGCTTTTCCCCTCGAGCAAAGGACATTCTTTTTTCCAATGACCCTGTTGATGGCAATAATGACACACATTTGCATTGCTGGTGCCATTAGGATGCTGTGCAAACTTTGGGGACAAAGATCCTGCTTTCTGAGATTCATTCCTTTCATAACGCTCACCAAAGATGCGCCTGTGCGTCAACACATACTCCTCAGCCAGTACTGCTGCCTCCCTAGGACATGTGACTTTATGTTCATTAATATAGGTTGCAATGTTCTCAGGGACAGACTGTTTCAACTGCTCCAGAATGATTAAATCACATAACTGATCCAATGTTTTTATCCCAGAAGAAGAGTACCAGCGCTTGAAATGCAAGATCAAATCAAGTGCAAATTCCACATGTGTTTTGTTACCACTCTTTCGCCAGTATCTAAAACGTTGGCGGTACGCTTCAGGCACCAACTCATAAGCCTTCAAAATAGACGATTTCACCGTGTCATAATCTTTACAGGCGTCAGAAGATAAAGCGGAGTAGGCTTCTTGTGCTTTACCTGTAAACACACACTGCAACATTAAAGTTCTGTCCTCATCAGGCCAGCCCCTTGAATCAGCAACACGCTCAAACAAACAAAAAAAAGTGTCTATATCATTTTCATTAAACTTTGGCAACAACAGTAAATTACCTGCAACATCAAAGCGTGAACTTACAAGTTCCTCATTCAATGCCGATGCAGACATTCTACCTGCCCTAATCAAAGCCAATTTGTGCAGTTCCAAATCCAGTTTCATTTGTTCTAACCTCAAAATCAACAATTCTTTCTGTTGTTCAAAAGTCAAGCCAGACACATAATTAGTGACAATGCTCTTACCTCCCCTGTCCGTCAGTACCGCACAGTCTAGCAAATGAGCCTTTAAAACACTTTTCAGGCTTTCCTTTGTTTGCTTGGAATCAAAAACAGAGTAATAATGAGCAATCTTCACCAACTGCTCCTTTGTACATTGCTCCAACAACTCATCCGAGGAACACTGAACAAAATCTTCCACAATGTTAGCCATATCAAACCACAAAAATCTAGCAACCTAGATAACCAAATTGAGGTAACATACACCACCTTTACACTATGC